AAAACGAAGGAAATCAAACTTGAGCTAATTAAAGTCAAAGGGCATAGCTCGAACGCATGGAATGATAAAGCAGATTGCCTAGCGAAAGAAGGGCTCGTATCTGACTTTATACTTGAGACTCAAGAAGTAACAACGAGTAAACTAAGAGTATTTCCAGTGTGGAAAGAGAAAATAATAGACACTGCATTAAGATCCTTCATTAATCTAACCACAACAACAATAAATGAGAATACTTGAGCAAACCTAAATAGCATCAAACTGGTACTTAATCAGAGAACAATGGATCTAAGCAACTCTGATTTGAACTAGCACAACACATGGAGTGCACTAAAAAATCAACAGGGTAAAAGATGTACAAGCATTAGGAAGAGTAACGCATTAATGTTCAGAATCAAATGCATCAATAAACTATTACCCACAAAAGACTTATGTTATCAAAGGGACCTGGCACTTTACAAAACCAAAACGTGCATTGCCTGCTATGCAAAGGCAGAGTTATTAGAACATTTAGCGGAATGCCAAATATATCAAGGGATTTGAAAAAAAATAGAAGTGTTTATAATAGAGGAGCTAGAGTAACAGCTTAGTTCCAAATAGGAAATTACAATAAGAAGCCAAATACTTAATGAAACTTTTTTAGGTTTGAATACAGAAACTAGACTTCAAAAAAGAAAACTCCTTATATGGGAGCTTACCAGTAAAAGCTTAGTGGCAGAGGTTAGGGATCTTCTAGGCTCAACTTCTAAAGTGAACAAAGCTATTTGCTAGTTCACTGAAATATTCTGGTCAAACTTCTTTGAGAGGCTCTGGAAGTTTCGCTGCGAAGTATTTTCAGAATAGGAGAAAAGAAATGGGATCGACAACAAGAAAAAGAAGAAGAAAAAATCTAAACACAACTCCCTAACCAAAGTAAAGAAGAAGCAAGAAAATAAAGAAAACCAAGCCCCAGTAGAAAAAGAAGCTATGGAGTCAGAACAGGATAAAGAAATAAGAATTCAGAAAGAAGCTGAAAGCAAAGTTGTAAGTTGGATTGAAGGAGGAATGAAGGATAGTTGGTTAAGTTTCAAAAACAATTAGGCAATTTTGATACGGGCGCATAGCAGCCTTCTGTAGATCTTAAGAGTAAGACCCTGTTTAGACATTCTACTCTTTTGGGAGGAAAATTTGTTATTGCAGCAGATCACACCTGGGTACTTCAAGCAGCCGAGTGAGTCTGGATTTAAGTCAAGAGGGCAGTTTTATAACTAGTCTTAGTTAGTTTATAATTTTGCTGTAACATATTTTATGTTTTCTCTTAATAAATGAAAGGCAAGATTGCCTAAGGAAAAAAAAAAAAAAGAATATACCCCAAGACTTGTGCTTTCATTAGATATGTAAGTATTTTATTTTTTACGATTTTCTTTATGAGTGAAAGACTAATTTTCTTTATTTACTTTCTTTGACCCTATCCTTTATATTACATTCAATTAATTCAATTACATTATTTACAGCATTTATCCATTAAACTTTCTTATACTATATTTGACTTTGTCATTAATATTATTAATAATCAATTTTGCATTAACTATCTCGTCATTACACACCAATATATTCACGCCAACTTGATGCAATTGATCTCTCTGATGATACTATGTGCTTCACGTGAGATGTTCATTTCATATTTATGTACCTTATCATTACCTTTCACTCTACTAATCTGTTCCTTTATTTCTTCTCGTTTATATAAGATACCATCCTCACACAACATTCTCTATACCAGGTATAGGGGCATTTCTGCAACTACGTGACACTTATATATAGCACATTATTGTAGAAGTGCTTATTTATCGCCATAAGTAGATGGGTAATCTGCGCAATTTTTTTATATATAAAAATCAGTTTTTTTATATAAAAAAAATATGCAAGTCATTCATCTAACCGTAAGTGCTTATTCAGAATTTTATGATATATGTTTATTATATATCTTAATATTTACATGTTCCATTTATAGTATTGTATTTTTGTACTATCATTAGTTATCACAACTATTCATACATGCAAAATAACTAAAATTTGATGAATAAATCACGTGAACTAATCAAACTTAAGATTTCACAAACAGATCTCATTAAAACACCATATAAGCCATATACTTCGTGATTTCATCACTCTGTTCCTGGTAATGCTTTTAATAAAACTTAAATATAATTGAATCAGATTTTTCTGATATCAAATAAAGGCTTAAGCTTTTTGTTTTCATTTGGTAATGCATAAACATAAATATTATCTTTTACTAATATTTAATTTATATCGATAAAAAATGCTTTATTTAATTGGTTGACAAAATCAATTTCTGAGAACAGTTTAAAATTTAAAGAACACTTTTCAAGATTATTTTAATAATTTAATAAATGAAAGTGAATAATAATATATCAGCCTTCTTTTTACTATGTAGTATCCTATTTCTAAAATTACTTTATAACAACACCAAACAAGAGGCTGTCCTATCTCATTGCAGTATTATAATATTTTAATATAATAACATTATTGTATCTAGATATCGTGATGTGACCCGTAAATTTTAAATAATATAAATAATTTATGGAATCTATGGATATTCATCAGTTTAAAGTAACCCATAGATTATTTATATTATCTATTCAATGTTCAGTTCACATATCTAGGTCTGTGCCTTGAAAATGACATTATGAGACATAGTAATTACTATGTTCTACAACATCATTTTCAAAGTACAGACCCCAAATGAATTCTATTGCCAAATGTCTAATAGTAAAGGTGTAATAAAATATCTCTATATTTGTCATAGACTCGGCATATGCTGGCTTAAGCAAAAGGTAAAATAGCGCTATATCTGCTTTTTCATATATACCCACTCAAATTGCTTGAATCTTCTATAAATGCTTATTTAAAAAAATATTGTGGTCGCCTACTTTGAGGCTTCATAATCAATTGAAAAGTGTTTACTAAATCTTCTTGAGCAGGACATGGCTCTGAAGTTATTTTGACTCTAACGGCTCATTGATTTGTATCGCTTTTGACCCCGCTCATTAGTAATAAAAAAATATGCAAGCATCTGGCCTTACTAATTCGAAAGCCTTAAAATGAAATTTGCATAAGAAGTTATGACGAACTAAGAAAGTGAAGCTTGAAAAACAGACCAACCTGTCAATGAATGATGAAACCACCCTCAGCACCAACAATTATAGCAATAATAATGATAGTGAAGACAATAATAGTGACAAACAAAAAGAAATATTTTATAACCCCAAAAAGTAAGTTATTAACGTGTAGTTGGGAATATTATTTTTAGTAGTATAGCAATAAATAAAGTTCGGCTTGAAGAATAGGGACAGTTATCGCCTTTCAAGGCAGGTCTAGGGGCCAATTGAACCCTCCCTTATAAAGCTCCACTTTATTTTAATTCAATTTTTCTTGGGCATGATTATCGTCTTTCTAAGCAAGTATATACGAGGAGAGGAAGGTCACGAAGACTTCTCGCAGTTTAAAACCACTGAGCTATATTGTGAAGAATGATTGTATCCACCAGAAAATTTTGATCTAGATTAATCGAAAATATGAACTCAGATTAACAATCTTTTATAATTTAGTATAAAACCCAAGGTGAGACGTGTCTGTTTACAAAGGATCAATCACGCAAATATATATGCTCCTTTTGGGTATCTAAAGATTTTTTGGCCAAAGATCTTAAATCAATTAATAAATCTCAAATGACTAATATTATAAGCCCTAATTTACATTTATAGAAAAGTTTCTAGAGAAGAGGATGCAACACCAGATTGTTAAAAAGTTGATTGATAGTAAGTTATTTTCTCTGAATACGGTAAAGCTCGATACTTATACTCTTAAACTTAGTACTCTTTCTAACTCCCAGTTAGATATGCTTTCGAATGCAAGTCATAGTGAATTATATGAAAACAATGATAGTAATGAATTCTTACCTTTCCAAAAAATTCCTTCAGATTTTATGTATATATTAGAATCTAACGTTTTTAGTCTAGATAGTAATAATAAAAAAAATACACTTGATTTAGAAGTAGATAGGTGGGGAGAATTTGCACGTTGGGTACATTTTTTTATAGGACCCAACTTCAAAAAAAAGTTTTACAACTATTGCTATCGTTTATGGTATAAAATTAAGCATGCATACCTAAGTGCAAAAGATTAAAGTAAAACCCTTGAACATAATATTCATGAAATATCGCAACAAAACTTGTAGGATAAACTTAATATCGCAAAGGATATGACAAAGAAAGTTATGTATAAAATCGATTTTAAAGGTTATCACCACATCTTCAAACCACAATGTTTTAAAAATGCACTCAGAGAGACTATGGTCAATTTTTTTGATCTTTCTGATCTTATAGTTGTAAAAAAGTCTCTAAAGATAGTGGATCAATATTATACTCACACTCTTGCCCACTCCTCTCACCAATCTAAGCAGTTCTCTAAGCACCTAATAGAATATTTTGGCAGTTTTACTGATAGTAATATTGAACCCTATACTATGGCTAATACTGCCTCTAGCCATTGCCTGGAACATGTAGAGTGTGTCCATGAGCTAATCAAGGGTCTACAACCACTTTCTAATATAGTTAACAACTATATTCATAACACTTATCTAACCTTATATGCTAAGATGGAGAAGCTCAATCTTGAACCCAACATTCCAAAATCTTTTAGAGCTTTTTCCACAGTTGCTATCAACTTTAATGCCATCTCCCAGTTCCATAGAGATTTAAAAGACCATCGCAATACACTATGTGTGGTTTACTCTCTCAGTGAATTTGAAGGTGGAGAATTAACATTTCCTGAACTAGAGTTGGTTGTTCATGCCAAGCAAGGTCATAGGGTTGCTTTTTGTTCTAATATCTTAATTCACGAGAATCTCCTGATCATTGCTAGAAATTGACATAGTATCGTATTTTATATATATAACACTGTTATCAAACAAAAGCGGATGTTCAGTTCTCTTTTTGCCAATAGCGAGTCAGATAGGAATAGCAATGAGGATGATAATAAAGATGAACAAGTGCCAAAATATCTCTCCTCTAAATTAGGCTCTCGAATAAAATTAAAAAATAATCAGCGGAGTCATATTGGTAAGTGCAATGGTTCCGTAGAATTCATAATAAAATACATTCATATCTGTCAAAATAGGCAAAGCT